TTGTGAATTAATATTACGTTTCTAACCACCGACGACAGCTATTTTGAAATTTATGTTACTATAAAGCAGTATTTGTATAGAATCCAATTATCATAGCCCTTAATACAGCAGGATTTCTTTTCTTCGAGGTATTAAGTATGCTTACCCTTCCCTCAATGAAAAAACCTGGATACGACTTTATTTAACATATGGAAGCGTATTAGTCACACGTAAATGCATGCATTCCAATTTGGAATAACTGATCGCATGACACTGAGACCCTGTTCCTTTTTTCCCCAAAATATTGGATTATCGATTTCGACAGAAAATTGTTTGCCATGGATTTCTGTTTCTTGAATTGTTTTATGGTGAATGACATAAAAATAAATATAATTCTCTCCCTTATATAATCTATATTTTAAAACTTAAGGAAGTGTTATAATTATAATACAGGTGCTTGAATAACCAGTAATAATAAAAAAACAATTAGTGACAAGTAATGATGCGATCATCACCCAGATGGTCATCCTCCCAAGTACTATAATTTAAAGAAGAGCTCGTTCTTTATATATACACATTGAAGTGCGGGGCTAATACTTATTTCTTTTTTGTAAAACTATTGTCATTTTATACTGTTTTTCAGCATTGAAAAGGTACTATTTAGAAGGAAAAAAACAATCATTTTGTCATTCATAACTTGATATTGGTCCCCGATTGGCACAGCGATAGGTCTGGGGACTTAGAACGCTATAAATTTGGTTTCGATACCCGTGGTGAGCAGAGCACAGATAGTCCATTGTGTAGATTTATGCTTATCTTCAAACAAAACAATACAACAGTAACTGGATTTTTTTAAAGTAACTTTTTTTTCCAGAACACTAGATAACTTTTGAGTTTAACGTAAGGACTGTCAATCTGCTGATTATGTTTAAATCATTAAAATAAGAGCCGTTCTATAAACACGGACTTCTTAATGGAAAATAAAATCTAAAAGTATAACCTCATCACAGATAATATAGGTACTAAAATAGTATTTTATGCAAAATAGAAGTGTACATTAAAATACTTAACGGAGATTTTATTAGACTGCTTTAGTGAGTTCTTCCTGTTTTAGGGTTAAACTTCTGCAATACATTCAGGAGATTATGTTTAATTTATATGTAAATTATGAGCTAATAAACTTAATGGAATATATTTCTTTACAGCACAGTATTTTATTGATTTGTATGTATATATATGCGTGCGTGTGTGCATTCCACTTCATGGAATTGCTTGATAATGTCAAAACGGTATTAATCAACATTTGTTCGTGACTTCATTTGTTAGCACGCATTTGTTTTCTACAATATATTCTATTTTGATTTCTTGTTGATTCTGTATTTTCTCCCTCTTCATTTCTTTCTTCTTGTCAGATCGTAGCCTTACAGAAGAGGTAGTCATAATTTACCGTGGCAAAAATAAATTTGGATTTGTAACCGATTTTAGGACGAGAATAATACGTGTATCTTAGTTGAACTGGAGAAATGTAAAACAACGATTTCTAAGGGAATATGCAACCTGTTTATAAAAGAATTTTCTGTTTTCATGAAACTTGAAACTTTTTGAAAGCAAATAAATCTTGCAAAGTATTTTTTCACTTGTAGTGTTTTCGATCTTTTTTGGTACGTTCATAAGATGTATTAGATCATTACTCGAACTTAATTAATTAAAATCAAATTTGCATTCAATTGCAATTTTTTTAAACCAGTTTTATATTCTTGAGGATCGTCAAACAGGCCCGGCATGGCCAGATGGTTAGGGCGCTCGACTCGCAATATGAGGGTCGCGGGTTCGA